GAGAGAGAGAGAGACAGAGAGAGGAAGGTCTTCTATCTGATGATTCACTCCCCAAATGACCACATTGGCCAGGACTGGGCTGATCCAAAGCCAGTAGCCAGGTGTTTCTTCCAGATCTCTCACATGGATGTAGGAGCCCAAGCATTTGGGCCGTTGTCCAGTGCTTTTCCAGGTCATTAATGGTGAGCTGGATAGGAAGTGGAACAGCCAAAACTTGAACCAGTGCCCATATTGGATGCCAGTGTTGCAGGTGGAGGCTTAACCTACTACACGACAGCACCAGCCCCCTCGCAGAGACACTTTTTATACAATGGGGTTGAAGCACACATGTTACATACAAGTGCTCTCATTTACATTCTCAGCTCTGGGAACAGTCAGATGAGCCTTGCAATCTCTACTGTGAGCTCAAAATGGAGAAGACAATGGACATCAGCCCAGGGCCTTGACACTGTGTCATATATAAGTAAATACCATTCCAGACCTTTGTAAATGAGTCCTGGGTATACATGCAAGGGAAATCCAACGCACCACTGAGATGACGCGCTCAGGAGGAAACCCTGTAGCATGGGCACTGGATACGGACAGTGAAGTGTCAGGTTTGAAATACCGGGTTAGCTTAAGTAAACTCCCTAATGCATACAGGTGCTGTTTGCTGATTTCTCTTTATCTGACCACCAGACCCCACCCTGTGAGTGCAGGTTGGGGGACTTTCTGGGAATTATCAAGCTTTGACACTTCTGGTTGATTTACCATGTCCTGTTTTTTGTTTGTTTGTTTGTTTGTTTTTTGAAAAACACAGTCTTTCTGCCCATTTTTACGCCCAGAGGCTGCAATTTTTTTCAAAGATTTATTTATTTTACTGCAAAGTCAGAGTTATACAGAGAGAGAAGGCGAGGCAGAGAGAGGTCCTCCATCTGCTGTTTCAATCCCCAGATGGCCACAACAGTCAGAGCTGCGCCGATCCAAAGCCAGGAGCCAGGAGCTTCTTCCAGGTCTCACATGGGTGCAGGGGCCCAAGGGCTTGGGCCATCTTCTACTGCTTTCCCAGGCCATAGCAGAGAGCAGGATTGGAAATGGAGCAGCTGAGACCTGAGCCAGCACCCATATGGGATGCTGGCACTGCAGGCAGCGGCCTCACCCGCTACACCACAGTGTTGGCCCCAACCATGTCCTGTTTAACAGCACAGTCTACACCTGTAAATCAACTTGTAAAAATCATAGCAGTGAAATGTTACCCCCCCCTTTCCTTGGTCCCAGTTGTCCCTTTCCCAAATGTGATTGTGGTTTTCAGCTTTAAATGGCCGACCCTTGCCTCTGCTCCTGGTTGAGAGATTTGAAGGTATTAGCCTGCTCTCGGCTGCCGGCTGAACAAAGGAGTCATTCCAAATTCTCAGTGTGTGGCGCTTCCCTGTGACACACCTTGAGTATAACATTTGAAGGCCCTGGCAATATTTTTGCCACTGGGAGTCCAGCCTCACTTCAGGTCTCCCTGGCTTGTTGAATTGTTACAGAGGAGGTGCCCCCGGAGACATTCCAGGGCCCCGTAACATCACCAGTGCCTAAGAGACAGGGAGTGACTGCTGTCTTCTACACTAACCTGGACGCTTCGAGTCTTTCTAGTCTTCCTACGAGCTTGAAACTGGTTTTCATGTCTGTTCCGACTCTGGGTAAAGAAAGTAATATTCCTGATGAGGATTCTTCTCTCAGTCTTCCCAGAATGACCGGGACACTGGTCGAGAAGATTCTGTTTGGTTCCTGTACCTGTTTCGTGGCCACTTTCTGATGCATTGTCACCCTTTGTTACTGTCTTCATTCATAATCCTTGCTGTAATCCTTGCTGTAGGCTTAACAACGGCCACCCCAACTGGCTGGACCTCTGTTGACAAACTACTCGAAGACTCCTCTTTCTCTTCTGGGTAGGGTGCCTCTTTACAGCCTGCTGTTTCTAATCTGGGACTAAATACCCCTCCTCCATTTTGCCTGTGTTCTGGTGACCACCGCCTCCTTTACTTCACGTATTATACGGGTTCTAATCAGTCAGCCGACCCTCTCTAGTGTGTATGATCAAAATGTTCTCATTTGGATTCTCAGAGGATTATGGAGTCGGCCTCACTCCAGGTAAGCTCCAAACTCTGTGAGATTGATTAGCCTGCCTTAAATATTGCCTGGCCATCTGAGGGGTTGCTCAGTTGTTTGAGAGGTGTGGTTAAAGGTCACGTGATCTTCAAGCCACTCAGACCAATTTCCTTATATGGATCAGTAGCTCTCTCTGACTCAAAACCCACTGCCATGGCTAAAGACCTACATCCTTCATGCCCACCACAAAATTCTAATTTGAACCAGTTGTCCCCGCCAACCTCTCCCCAATCGGGGCACCTGCTCCCAACCCCCTGAAATTCCTACTCCTGTCCTGCAGACAAACAAGGAAGATGCTCTCCTGCCACCCCCTATAACCCTCTCCCAATCTCATCACCTTCTATCTCCTGGACCACTCCCCCTCCCTGTCTTCTCCCCTGAGTAGCAGCAGCCGCCAACCACACTGTGAACCAGATCAGCTCCCAGCTGCTCTGACTCCTCTTCTTACCTACTGGGGCAGACAGAGGGGATCACCCATTTTCAGTGTATGTCCCTTTACCACCTCTGACCTGTATAATTGGAAAACTCAAAACCTTCTGTTCTCTGAAAAACCTCAGGTTTTAACCAGCCTCATAGCGTTGATTTTTTGAACTCATCACGCACCACCTGGGATGATTGCCAGCAGTTGCTTTTAACCCTTTTCACCGCGGAGGAATGAGAATGTATTAGAACAGAAGCAAAAAAGTCCTTCCTGGCTATGGCTGATGGCTCAGAGGGAGAAAATGGGTCACTCCTAGGTGAAACCATTCCCATCATCTGCCTTAACTGGGACCCTAGTAACTTCTGGGGGCTTATGGGCTCTGGACACTTATCAGTGGACACTCCTAGCAGGAATTAGGGGGCAGCTCGACCATGGGCTTTTCTTGGATGCCTCCAAGAAGCCTGCCAAACTTATACTCCCTTTGACCCCCAGGCTCCTGAAAATGCTAAGAGCAATTAATTTGGCTTTTGTTGCTCAATCAGCAACTGACATTCACAAAAAGTTACAAACACTAGAGAATTTGCAGTCATGAATGTCTCTTAACTTCTGTAAATAGCCTGAAAAGTTTTTGACAATCGAGATGCTGACAGACAGACGAAATGCTGACAGACAGATGAGCAGCTGAATTGGCTGCTCGGGCTACACTGAGACAGGCTAAAATCCCGATAGCAGCTCTCCAGCCTGGGACCCAAAAGGTAAAAGAGCCTTTAAAAAAAGGGATAGAGAAACACACGCACAACCCTAGAAAAAGATCAATGTGCCTACTGCAAAAAGAATTGACATTGGAAAAATGAATGTCCAAATCATTCTGAAAGGATCATGACTCTCCCCACCACTGGAAACTAGGGTAATGATTCTGAGTGAAGGAGCCAGCACTCCAATCTCTTGGGTCCCCAGGAGCCCTTGGTCACAGCAACTGTAGGGGCCACCCAGTTCAATTTCTTTTAGATACTGGGATAGAACTTTCTGTTTTGAAGACCCCTCTGGGTTCAGTCTTGTAGAAAAATAATCCCAATCCAGGTGGCCACAGTACAAGTTAAAAACTTCCTGCTCACATGTACAATGAACTTTGTTACTCATTCCCTTTCTGGTAGTCCCGGATTGCCCTTTCCCTCTCTAGGACCGTGACCTCCTTCACAAACCGGGCAGTACCATCTCCTTCTCTCTTCATGAGACTTCACATTCTCACTCACCAGCCTGTCAGCTACATTTTACTACTCCACTTTCTTTTTGTCCTTCTCAGGTCCCTTGGCCCACTGGAAGATCTACAATGTTTATTTCCTCAAGCATGAGAATGATACTATCCTGCTTATTAATACTTTTCAATATTAATAAGTCTGTGGGTTCTTGTTGTGTATTTGGAGAAGAATTCTAAATACTGGCTCAAATAGACCAGACAACATGGCAAGTTTTTAAGGATTTTGTTCAGTGAGAGAGATGTACAGGAGAGTGAAGGCTTTATTTAGGGGAGAAAGAGAGGTCTAGAAACTAAGTTGGGACCATACCAAGCACAGAGCAGGCAAGGAGCAAGCTAAGTGCAGCAAGCATGCAGGCAGGAAAGCAGGGAGCCGGCAGCCCAACAGCCCTGCTTGTAAAAGTGCTTCATAGATGGAGCTGGCATTGTTTTTTCTCTCTCTCTTTCTGCCTCTCTCTTCCTCTCTCTGTCTGTAACTCCGCTTCTCAAACAAATAAATAAATCTATAATCACAGTGTTGCATAGCTTTGGGGGCACACTAGTGCTACTTGGGTCTGCATTTCTGAAACTAAAGCCCTCAAGGATACAATAGTGGTGCCATTCAAATGCCCTGCATGTCCCTCCATAATCTGACCCTGCTGTTCACCTAGCCATCCTCATCATGCCCTCAACAACTTGATGACCCATACTTCAAAATGTGCTTTGCTCTAAAGCCACATTCGGCCCCAGCTTCCGAGAAGAGCTAAGCCCAGACTGTGCTAGGAGACCCACGTGGATACGAAAGTTTGTCTTTCCCACTGTGTCCATGGCTCGAGTTAATAATCAACAGGAATCACCGGCCAAAATGTATGGTTCTATGGGAATGAGGGAGGGTGGCAAGGCGCTCAGAGACGAGAAAATGACCTGGAAGCACTCAGTGGTGGAGAATGGACTCCAAGCTTCAGAGCCTGGGGACTCGCCTCCATTCTCAGCTGAATTCACCTCCACCCACCAATTCTTTCCCCGCAGATTTCCAAGGGAACAGGGTAAACTTCCACCAGACACTCGGACCTACCACGCCCTGACCTGCCCCACCCCGCCACGTGCAACAGCGATTTCTGGTTGGCTAGTCAGAATTCCGCTAAGCCTTGGTGGGAGGAGCCACGAAGTCCGCCCCACAGTCCCCTGCGCATCCGGGGCCTGCTTTGAGCCCAGAGCCCGGGGCCTGCTTTGAGCCCAGAGCCCAGGGCCCAGGAAAGCCCTCAGGGGGCCGCTGCTTCCCCAGCCTGACCAGAGGCCTGGCCGGGCGGAGGAGGAGGAGTCAGGACTACAAGGAGCAGCTGTGAAGGCAGCGACTGAGGACGAGCAGGCATAGACTTCTGAAGCCGGCCTGCTCCTTAACGTGGTGAGCGGGTTCCTAGGCTCCGAGACAGAACCATGTTCCGGATGGTGTCCAAGGTTCGTGCCTTCTTCAGGAGGAGAGCAGACTCGGAGGTCGAGAAGGAGCTGTCAGTGAGCCTGCTGGAAGGTACCTAACCTGTCCGCTCCCCGCAAGGGACTTGCCCGTGGGGCCCCAGCCCTGTCCTGACTGTGGTTCTCAGGAGTTCTAGGGAGCTCTAGGAGCCAGAACAGGCGCCATCTTGGGGTGGGGCAGGTAAGGACGCCTGCCCCCAGTTCCCTGAGTGCCCTTGTCGGCAACTTGCATGTGCTGCTGTCCTGAACTCTTCTGTGCAAAGCGACAATGGTGTAGGCACAGAGGGTCCCGGGGAGAGTTTTCCCCACTTGACCTTCCCCACAAACCGTGAAGCTTACCTTGCATGGATGCTATGTGACTGTAAGAGTCCCCTTTATGTGTTCGTAGTCGTGGGTCCTCCTTTCTGATGGCTGATATCAGTATTTTCAAAAAGGGTGGTTTACTTGTATATTTATGTGAAAATTCAAGTGACATAGAGAAACGGGCAGAGACAGAAATCTTCCATCCGTTGGTTCACTCTGTCTGAGTTTCTCAGTTGGGTGGGTGGCAGGAACCCAAGTACTGGAGTCATATTCTGCTATATCCCAGGCACATAAACACAGTGTATTGGAAACTGAATTGACACTCTGATGTGGGCTGATGGTGTCCCAAGCAGTACCAAAATGCTGGCCCCTTGAAATGCAGTTCTTTCCTGAATGGGCATGTTTGAAGCCTCGTGGATGAGTAATACACTCAGATATATGACTTCAAAATTTTGTACAAAAATAGGCATCTTTAATATATTTTTCCATGAACATTTTGGTGTACTCCCCATATCTGTTGCTGATAATAAGGGACGGACTACATTTAATGTGTTCCCTTTTGCATCCTAAAAATCTACCCCAGAGTCTGGCATTGAATGCATGCCTAGTGGATACATTAGAAGGCATACATTTTGGGCCGGCGCCGCGGCTCACTAGGCTAATCCTCCGCCTAGCGGCGCCGGCACACCGGGTTCTAGTCCCGGTCGGGGCGCCGGATTCTGTCCCGGTTGCCCCTCTTCCAGGCCAGCCCTCTGCTGTGGCCCGGGAGTGCAGTGGAGGATGGCCCAGGTGCTTGGGCCCTGCACCCCATGGGAGACCAGGAAAAGCACCTGGCTCCTGGCTCCTGCCATCGGATCAGCACGGTGCGCCGGTCGCATCGCGCTGGCCGCGGCGGCCATTGGAGGGTGAACCAATGGCAAAGGAAGACCTTTCTCTCTGTCTCTCTCTCTCTCACTGGCCAGTCAAGAGAAAAAAGAGAAAAAAAAAAAAAAGAGGCATACATTCATTTTGTTGAGGTGATTTCAGTTAGATGTGAGAAGGTGTACTGGGATGGATTGCATGCTTGCTCTGAACTGCGTTAAATCTCTGGTTCAAGTGCTTGGATGTGCCCCACACTGCGCAAAGGCACTCAGGGCAACGAGACCATTAATGTAAATATTACCAATGATGGAAGTCCTAGGATTTCCATTCGTGTTTACAGCAAGTCATGGTGACACACCCAGGGAATAGGGTGCACACAGCTAGCCTGTGGCCCAGCAGATTCACGCCCACATTTGGATTCCTCAGCCCTTTAGCACCCTCAGGCTTCTACCTGTGAAGGTACTGCCATACACAAGAGAAAATTCCCATGCCTTCAGGAAGGCAGTGTGGAGGAGACTTTCCTTTGGTCAGAAGTATTCATTTGGCATGGACCTGCCTTCCTGGTGCTGGTGTGTCCCTGCTGCTCTCTGCCAACAGAGATGGAACTCCAGCAGAGGTGGTTTATTCTTATCAAAGTTTATCACAGGGCTGTTTCTTAGCTGTTCCCTGAAATCTCAGTGCAGTGTCCCTTCTTAGTCTTGATTTTGCCAATAGGAACACACAAAAATATTGTTTTGACTTCTGACACGTTTTCATGCGCCTGAGTGGCAATTGTCAAGTCTGTCCTTTTGCATTCTTGTAATTCGTGATTTCAGGTAACAATCAATCTTTGTTTCAATTTTTAAGAATTGTCTTGGGTTTCTTCTTCCAAAATCTATTATAATTAACATTTCTTCCAGCTGTTCTGCTAGTTTCCCTGTCTTTGTCAAGGTAACTAATGCACTGTGGTTCACAATGTAGACTTTGCATGCTGAACACTCTGGTTTCAGATCCCAAACTATGGCTTACCATCTTTTTTGTTCAAGACACCAAAATAAACCTGAGTGAGGCTGATGCACATTTGGGTGAGACTTAACTCCATAAATTTCTTTGTGCTTTATCTGTTGAGGTATTTAATCATTTGTACATGCTACTGATGCTGTTAATGATGAAACTATATAGCAATAATCAATGCTTAAAGACTCTTCCGATATAGATAAAACTAACATTTACACTCTAATCTGGGGGAGATGTTCATAGTTCTAAGCAGTTGAGATTTCTGGTCATTAATATTAATAACCCTAATATGCAAACAGCATTAATATCCCCATTTTACAAGTGAAAACAAGGTCAGAGAAATGAACAAGTGTGCCCGGAGTATCACACTTGACAGCCGTGTTTCAAAGCCATGTAGTCTGACTCTAGAGCCAGTGCTCTTTTTTTAAAGATTTATTTATTCATTTATTTGAAAGTTAGAGTTACATGGAGAGAGAAGGAGAGGCAGAGGTAAAGAGGTCTTCCATTCTCTGGTTCACTCCCCCAGATGACTGCAATGGCTGGAGCTGCCTGATCTGAAGCCAGGAACCAGGAGTTTCTTCTGGCTCTCCTGCGCAGATGCAGGCGCCCAAGGAGTTGGGCCATCTTCTGTTGCTATCCTGGCCATGGCAGCGAGCTAGATCTGAAGTGGAGCAGCCAGGACTCAAACCAGTGCCCATATGGGATACAGACACTGCAGGCCTTGGCTTTACCCGCTACACCACAGTGCTGGCCCTGAGCCAGTGCTGTTAGCCATACAACTACACTGGCTTAGGCATTGACCTCTATGCTCCTCAGAGAAATGGTGAAACTAGTATTTCAACCTTTGCTCTGTGCTTTCAGAATCCCACATGCTAACCAGCTGTGCTCCACTGTCTCAAATCTAACCTGCTTTATTTCTGCTCTTATATAATTGCCTCTCACAGCTTCTTCTATGGGGTTTATATGGAATGTGTATTTGCTTTTGAAACTAACTCCTGACAACTTTTGCTTGCCTATCTCATTAGATGACACCGATTTCAAAACTACACAAGGAGCAGTGGCAAGTGCCAGTGGTGATTATGGCTTGACTGATGAGTGTATCAAGTACGGTACTGAAATAACTGATACTGTGCTTCTGAGCTCTGAGCAAAATGTTACTCCTGTTGTGGAAGAAGATGAAACATCTCAGGAATTGAAAGCCACTAACGTAAGAGTTGTATTTGGAGATCATCTTTATTCCTGGGATACTTTCAAACTACCTTCTCTGAGATGCCCCTGGTATATTATTGGTAGAGTGGAATCGGAAGTCTAATTTGCCAAACTTTGTGAAATATTTGTTCTTATCTTTGCAGTCATTTCTGTTTTCCAAAGTATACATCTGGTTAACAATTAGAATTATGTGTGATAGCCTTCCTCACTCACAAAAAGAATTTCTACATGTATTGAAGTGTAATTACAGTAAAGAAACATGCATGCTAATACTTTTAAAAAAACTTTATTGAGGTATAAATAATCTTCCATAAAATTCTCTAGTTGTAAAATAAGTATAAATCAATGGCATTTTTAAGTCATTTTACAGAGTTATGAGACCATCATCTCAGTTTGTATATTTGGCTTTAATTAAATGATGGTTCAACTATATTGTGCTAATCGACAATGTCAGCAGCAGGTTGAGAGAATGCCTGATTGGCACATTGGCATTCGTTCTTTGACCTCTTTGTCAGTCTGAAGAATATAAAGGAGTATCATAATTATATTTGCATTTTTCAAAGTATCAATGAGAATGGAATAGCTTTCCTTGCTAGAGCTCCTTATTTATTAGGAACATTAGACATATTTTTATATTAGGGAAATTAGAGGTCTATTAGGAAATTTATAGCATGAACATTTTTGCTAATATTCTTTCCAAGACAGCATTTTACCTTTATTTCATGGAGTTTGATATTTTAAATACTATAAATATGTCCATCTTATCCATATGATATCGGTTTTGAGTTCAATAAGAATCCTTATGCAGGCGCATTGTACTTCATAATTCATAGAAATATCACTTGTGTTTTCCTCTCAAATTATTTATTTGTTTACATCTAAATAGTCTTCCTGGAATTGATTTAGGTATAGTAACTGAGAAAAGAATGCAGATTTTATTTTGCTAATTTTTATATTGTTGTCCCCATACTTTTAATCCAATAATCCACTGTACTAGCTGAAATGCCCCTTATATTGTATATCACATTGCAATAGGCTTGGAAACTGTGGGACATCCTGTTATACTCACTGGATTGTGTTATCTTATGCTGAACGTGTAATCAAATATTCACATCACTGAATCATTATAACATTTATTTCAATGTTTGGGATCCTGGTTTTCAGGTCAAATGTCTTTGGAACTTTCCTGGCCATTTCCACCTCTTAATTTTTCTGTATCCTTTTTTTAAAAAAAACACAAAAGAACTTTATTTATGGAGGGTAAAAGCATGAAAACAATATAAAAATCAAAAGTTTATCTGTCAGTTAATTGACTTTTCTTTCTCTGTCAAGTAGAAGTTGGTTTTCATTTGGAAATTTTCTAAGGGTTCTGCTCTGCTCATGAAATCCTTATACAAGGGGTAGCTGTGCGGCAGATTCCTTAAATGACCCTTTGGGAGGTCTCTTCTCAGGGCAGGGGTAATTGCTGCAGACTTCTTTTGCCTACTTCTTTCCCTTCTGCTCTGTATGTACTACAAAATAGTCATTGCATGCAATGGTGAGGCCTGCAATTAGGGAGAAGAAGCTTTGGAATCTTTCTTTCCCATTTTGCACTGGTTTTGTTAGGAAACTAGCACAGTTTTATCTATGGCGCGTTACATCCTAAGCTCTAGCCCCTGCCACCATTGCTGGAAACCAGGTGGCCACATGGCTCAACCTCTGTGGTCAAGCTCCACCCCCATCCTAATGAGATTCGCTGCTCCTGCTTCCCTGCCCGCTATAAGCCAAAGTTTTAAAAAGTTTTAAAAAGTTTTAAAAAGTTTTAAAAAGGCCTGTTCCTCCTCTCCTGCTTTCTTGGCTCTCTCTCTGCTCTATCTTCTCTCCTCACTAACTCCTCTCCTCTGTCTCTCTCTCTCTTATACTCTCTTTCTCTCTCTCTTTTTCCTTCACTGCCCCACCCCTTCGATCTGTTGGGTGTTCCCCGATAAACCTTTTCCCTTACTCTGGCGTTCGGTGTGTTTTGTGACGGCTAACAGGTCTAGGTCCTTCATTGTTTTATCTACAGCCAAGGAGTCTTTTTGATTTTCCAAAAATTCAGAGAACTTCTTTTCCATGCCTTTAAGTCCAGCAAATTTGAGAAATGTAAACTTCACGGTTTCCATGGCATGTTCTATTTGAGACAGCATTTTGGTGAGGTCTGTTGAGACCTTGGTGGGAGCCAATGCCGCAGGGATACTGGATGAGCTTCCATGTGAGCCATGAGAGGAGCCCCAGGCTGTGTGCCTTTGTTCCTGGGCCAGGCGCCCAGAAGGCGGAGGTTGGGCCCTGGTGGGAGTGGGAGGAGCTGTTCTGTATTATCTTAAAAAGCTCTGCATTGTAAAAAGCGACAATATCTATGTTTTAAATTGGGATAGCTTTGGTTTTACACATAATTTAGGGAGAAATAGCATCATAATAACTCTCTTTTCCTCCAGCAGGCACATTCCTCCTGTATTTTTTTCAATGGTTTTGTACTTTTCTCCTACTAGGTTCTGTATATTCGTAAGTGTATTTCCCAGGCTGTTAATATTTGTGTTCCATTATAATTTTATTGAAATTATTTATTTAGCTTTTTAAAATGTACTATTTTTAGGATAAGTTAAAATAATTGTCTCTATATATTTTGTTTTAAATTAATTTTGTCTCCCTGCATACTACAGTATCAGTTTTTTTTTTTTTTATAATCAGGTAGGTCTTACTGAGTCTTTTTCAAATGATTGAGATATACTTTATTACTATTATTTAGATGTCAGGTGTGAATTGATTATTTAGGTATCAAGTGTGAATTGAACTCTTGAAATCAACGTTATTTAAATGTGAATAGCTTTATATACACATAAAATTTTAGGTTAATAATTTAAGGTCTAGAGCAACATAAAATAAAAGTAAAATCATCCTTTATGCCTTCCTGAGTAACTATTACTCCTCAGACATGGTACTTTTTTGTGCTTCATATTTTCAGAATAGAATCCCTCTTCTTGGAGGCATTGAAAATTGAGCATAATATTCTCTAACAATCTTACACATTTTTTTTTGACTTGACAATATTGGTCAGTATATATTTCCTTGACATAATTAAAAATGTGGAATTTGATTAAAAGGAATTGTGTATTTCTTTGCTCCTTTTGATCAGTATTCCATTAATTTATACAAATAGGAATGTGCACATTGGTTCTTTTATCAATCACCAGTATAGCCATACAATCAACAGACAATTTTTAGATGTTTAATGAAAGATAATGTGATCTTGAGATCTGAAAGAATAATCATAACACCTGGAAAATACAGTATTGATGGCTATTCAACAGTGGTTGACCCTTTGAATTGTTGTTTATTGATAATGATATAGAGAAAATATAGCTCATGTTCCTAGTATCAGACCCTTCTTTTACGGGAATGATCCGTATTTGGCTATGATGTGTGATTCTTATAATGTCCTGCTGGATTTTCTGGGTTACTTTTTATTTGGATTTTTTCATTTGCATAAATCAAATTGATTTATACTTGCCCCTTATTATGATATTTTTATCAGCTTTTGGAATCTCCGGTATATTCTCTCTATTTAAACAAAGAATTGAGAAGCTTCTCTTCATGCTGTTTTCTAAGATTTATTTATTTATTTGAGAGGCAGAGTTACAGAGAGAGGGAGAGACGGAGAGGAAAAGTCTTCCATCCGCTGGTTCACTCCCCAGATGGCTGCAATGGCCAGAGATGCTCTGATCCGAAGCCAGGAGTCAGGAGCTTCTTCCTGGTCTCCCACACTGGTGTAGGGGCCCAGGGACTTGGGCCATCTTCCATTGTTTTCCCAGGCCATAGCAGAGAGCTGGATAGGAAGTGGAGCAGCTGGGACTAGAACTGGCACTCGTAGACGAGGCCAGTGCCACAAGCAGAGGCTTAGCCCACTACCACCACAGTGCTGGCCCCTTTCTTCATTCTTTATACATTTGCACAATTTCTCATGAGAATTAAATATTCCATGAAGTTCATAAAGGAAACAACTCTCAAGCCACTGCTTGAGACAGGGACAGATTTGGGTGACTCTGCAATCTCTTCCTTTCATTAATGTTCATTTCATCCAGAGCTAAGTGTTTTTGAGGTCTCAGATGTTGGTGTTTATTTTAACAACAAAATTTGCAGCCGGCGCCGTGGCTCAACAGGCTAATCCTCCGCCTTGTGGCGCCAGCACACCAGGTTCTTGTCCCGGTCGGGGCACCGGATTCTGTCCCGGTTGCCCCTCTTCCAGGCCAGCTCTCTGCTGTGGCCCGGGAGTGCAGTGGAGGATGGGCCCCAGGTTAAGTACCTGGCTCCTGCCTTCAGATCAGCGCGGTGCGCCGGCCCTGGCGGCCATTGGAGGGTGAACCAACGGCAAAGGAAGACCTTTCTCTCTGTCTCTCTCTCACTGTCCACTCTGCCTGTCAAAAAAAAAAAAAAAATTGCAAATCTTCCTGCATTTTCACCTATCCTCTCCTCCTTTTGTCCTGTTAGAATGGAAAAGTATCTCTTTTCTTATGACTGATTCTCTGTACTTGCAATTTGGATGTGCTTTCCTTTGCTTTCTCCACAAGTTTTTCCTGCACTATCGAGTGCCTCTTCTTGCCCTATCTTTCTCATCCTATCTGCTATCAGTGTACAAGATAGAACAGCATTTAAATACGGCCAAATCTTCACTCACAAAATACAAGTCCCACCCTTCAAGTTTACCTTTTATTTTGGCTCCCCCTTTTCCTTTGCAGGCAGGCAACTTGGTAGAGTTTCTGTCTCCATTGCCTTCACTTCCTGTCAGCATCATGCTGCTGGAATCTGACTTCTTTATCCACCTGCCTGCCAGTTAATCAAAATTTTTTAAGCTGAAGTAGCAACATGAACTTAGCAGGAAATATAAACCTGATTTCCCTTTTCCTATTTTAATGGACAAGTCTCAATATCTTTTGCTGAGAGGAGGAGCAAAGAACTGACACTGAAGGGAAGACAAGGTCCAGAGAGTTACTTATTTTCAAGTCAGGAGAATCTAAAGTATGTTTGGACATTTAAGCATTAGAATGGGAAAAGTTGAAAATAGCAATAAGTGTAGGATCAAAGTCCTCATGGAGGACAGAGTGCTGGGTTGAATTTTTCCCTTGGGCAAGGGCTTGAATGTCACTGTATTTTTATAGGAGGGAAAGAAGAGGAAGCAGAAAAGCTGTCAGGAGGTTCATACAGGAGCTCCTTTCCCATGGCATTTGTTTTCTCCTAGAAATAGGAGACAAGGCCTGATTATGTTTTGTTTATCAGTTTTGAGTAATGAGCATAAAAAGATTTTGTAATTAAAAATTGTGATGCAATAATGTTGAGGGACAGACAGTCTGAGACTTTGGAAAGGCACATTTGCTGGTGATATAGAGTAAGACTATTATATAGTCTTGATTGTCCAAGTGCCATTTTTGTCTCCTATTGCAAGTGTGTCTAGACAACTGAATTTGATATCTCTGTTTTTACAGCAGTTTATATTTCAGAGTAAAGGAGGAGAATGGCTGGACTGTTGACCTTCCTGGGCTTGAAATTTGGCCAGCTGAGAATGACAGAGTGAATGCATTCATGAGTTGTTGATGTTTCAAGGAGAAATAAACTCAAGCAGGCAGAGTGGGAGTTTGACAGGAGACTTGGGGCAGGTTCAGTCTGCAGGATAGGTGTGAACGTGTGTGTGGACTTAGGGAACAGTGAGATCAGATGATGGTAGGGATCATCGACTTGGTTTCTGAGAGTAGTGATGGTGCATGGACAGAAGTGAGCTGAATGCTTTCTCCTTCCCTGAGAATGAAAGGACATATCACTGTGAGATTTCTGTTGACAGCTGAAGAGAGACAAAGGGATATACAAATAGACCATCAAATAGGCTTTTTACAAAGTAACATGGAAATAAATATACACCTCCATGAATAAAATTTCCATTCTAAACTTTGGAATAAGAAATTCCACTCCCAAGAGTTCATTCTACAGAATTGGGAAGTAGGTAGTCTTTTAGGATAAAAGCTAAAATTTTCCTTTAAAATAGTGCATAAATATTTATGCAGAGTGAAATCTTCTGGAATAGGCTAAGTACCAGAATGTTGTCAATGGCTATCTGTATATAAATGATGAATTTATGGGTTGTGGGTAATTGTTTTTGCTTGATTTTTTGTGAATTTTTATATTTTATATAGTGAACATGTGTTATTTATGTAATTTGAACAGCAAAATATCAAATAAATGCCATTATATTTCCAGTTAATGAAATTATGGGGTGTCTTGTTATTGTTGATAAGTTAAAATCCAAATCTGACTAGTGTTTGTTTTTTTTTTGTTGAAATCTTTCCATTATCTAAAATGTTTTTCCAAGTTCATCTCAGGCTTTTCCCCACAGCTGTGCGAATCTGGAGTATTAAAGTTTTCTTCTCTGTTCCCCTAACTTGATTTATGTTTCCTTTTCCTTGATGTCTCCTAATGCAAACGGGAAACTCATGTTTGTTAGGCAAACTAGTTTTCTTTCACAACCCAAGTCAAAATACTTCCTCCTAGAAAATCCTGTATTCTCCATATAAACTTTTTTTCTCTGGGGAATTTCCAGAAACTGAGTTTTGTACTACCTTTTGTCATTTATCAAAACTTGCCTTGAGTTAGTATTTTTTGTCCTTTACTCTTTGTGAATTAATGGAGAACAGGAATAGCCTGTCTTTTATCTTTAAATCTAATACCATTAGTACTTTAAATCGGGGGGGGGGGTGTAAAAATATCATGCATAAATATTATTTTTAAATATTTGTACAGCACAATGCATGAGGCTAATGAAAACTATGTACTTTATTATGTACTGATACTGCTCCATCATTTGTCATCAGTGTACCCAATCAAGGCATGCTGCTAATATAGGGGAAAGTAAAGGTGCAGGTGACAGAATCTATGGGAACTCTACTCTCTGTTCAGTTTTTATAAGCTGCTATAATAAAGTAAAAATGAGAAGATGGTGGAGCTTAGGCACATTTTATGAATTTGTGTCTATGATGTGTTTGTCAGTTGAAATTCACTCATCAATGTATATTATGTTTCAGGTATTTCCTGAACAACAGTATCTTCAGTATATGCTTCCTTTACATGTTGGTTGCATGTGAGTAACTGTTTCTTTGCTTTCCAGGTGGATGATTTCTGCGATAACCTCCACAGTGAACAATCAGAACCCCATAGCAGAGATTCATTTGGCTGTCTTAACTCTCTAATGGGTGGTGCTGACTCCATTAATTCCACAGGTTACTTCTCTGTACACATTGATTGCAAAGGTACAAATAATATTCTGTTAAATTTCAAATTACTTTGACCTATTTTAAATTTTTTATGAATTGGATGTGTGGATGATTAAAAATATTTCCTGACTGGCGCCGCAGCTCAACAGGCCTCCGCCTAGCAGCGCTGGCACACCGGGTTCTAGTTCCGGTCGGGGCGCCGGATTCTGTCCCAGTTGCTCCTCTTCCAGGCCAGCTCTCTGCTGTGGCCAGGGAAGGCAGTGGAGGATGGCCCAAGTGCTTGGGCCCTGCACCCTATGGGAGACCAGGATAAGCACCTGGCTCCTGCCTTTGGATCAGCGCGGTGCGCTGGCCGTGGCGGCCATTGGAGGGTGAACCAACATCAAAGGAAGACCTTTCTCTCTGTCTCTCTCTCTCACTATCCACTCTGCCTGTCAATAAAAAAAAAAAAAAAAAAAAAAAAAAAGAGAGAGAGAGAGAGAGAGAAGAAATATTCCTGTGTCAAATTTAAATTTAGATGTCTACATTGTATTTTTTAAAAAGATTTATTTATTTATTTGAAAGTTAAAGTTACACAGAGAGAGGAGAGGCAGAGAGAGAGAGAGGTCTTCCATCCGCTGGTTCACTCCCCAATTGGCCGCAACAGCCGAGCTGCACCAATCCAAAGCCAGAAGCCAGGAGCTTCTTTCAGGTCCCCTTTTTGGGTGCAGGGGCCCAAGGACTTGGGCCATCTTCTACTGCTTTCCCAGGCCATAGCAGAGAGCTGGACTGAAAGTAGAGCAGTCAGGATTCGAACCAGTACCCAGATGGGATACATGCAGTGGCTTTACACACTATGCCACAGTGCCGGCCCCCTGCATTTTACTTTACGAGTTCAAAAATATATGCCACAAGGAAGAGATTCATAATAATTTTGAAAATTTGTGCTATCATTTGTTACATTTTATTTATTGGATGCAGTTAATAATGTTGCAATTTTTATTCATGTAGGTACTGGAATTTCTTTGTAAATACATTTTCTTTTATGTGTGAAAATTGAAAACCAAACTATGATTTGTTTATGTAACTATGGAGAAGATGTGATGCTATTTTTCCTTTTCTCTTGTTAAAAGAACCTAGAAGCAAGAGCTGATTTGGCTAACAGCATATAAGCATACTGATAGGACTACATTTAGTACAGGATAAACAACTTTCATGAAAATAAATTTTATTAATTTTAAATATTTTACTAATGCATAAATGCTGTTAAAAGTGAGCAACTTTGGGGCCGGCACTGTGGCATAGTGGGTGGGGCTGCTGCCTGCAGTACTGGCATCTCATATGGGTGCTGGTTCGAGTCCCGGCTGTTCCACTTCCAATCCAGCCCTCTGCTATGGTCTGAGAAAGCAGTAGAAGATGGCCCAAGTCGTTGGGCCCCTGCACCCGCATGAGAGACTGGGAGGAGGCTCCTAGCTCCTGGCTTCAGATGGGCGCAGTTCCGACCATTGTGGTTATTTGGGGAATGAACCAGCGGATTGAATACCTCTGTCTCTCTCTCTCTCTCTCTCTCTCTGCCTCTCCTGCTCTCTCTGTGTAACTCTGACTTTCAGATAAATAAATAAATCTTTAAAAAAAGTAAGCAACTTCATCTTGCAAATTTTTTAAAAAAATTATTTATTTTAAAGTGTTACAGAGAGAGGTAGAGATAAAGAGAGAGGTCTTCCATCTGCTTGTTCACTCCCCAATTGGTCGCAACAGCTGGAGCTGTGCCGATCCGAAGCCAGGAGCCAGGAGCTTCTTCTGGGCCTCCCATGTGGGTGCAGGGGCCCAAGGACTTAGGCCATCTTCTACTGCTTTCCCAGCCATAACAGAGAGCTGGATCGGAAGTGGAGCAGCCAGGTCTTGAACAGGTGCCCATATGGGATGCCAGCGCTTCAGGCCAGGGCGTTTACCCGCTGTATCACAGTGCCTGCCCCATCTTACAATCTTATACATGTGAATTTCTACTATAGGTCACAAAATTACAGGTACAGAGATACTCTTTTTAACACTTCAGATTCTTTAAAATAACAGTTTGATATAGCCTCATACCTTTCTGCATTTGTGTGTGTGTCTATCTGTTCACTGTTGAATTGTGTTTGTAATTGTAAGATAGAAAATTTTGCTGTATTATGCTTAAAGAGACAATTTGTTCATTTTTATGATAGAAGAATGAATATTGGCAAAATGACTGTAAAGAAAATATTATTACACCCTGCCTGTATCTTTACACTGTATCTCACAGTGTAACTGGAGGAGACAGCCATGTGAATACAGTGAAATAATGTGAACAGTGTTACTGATCCAAGCAATTAGAATGACTGACTGTGATGGGATGATATGGGGAAGGCTAACTTGGCAAGGTGCTGTCTGAGCAGGAGTCCACATTCCTGCATCTCCGTTTCTTGGCTGGATTTTGAGATGAATAGAAGTAAAAATTTTGTACATGCTTTAAGTGCAATCTGCTGCCTTTTTACTTCTGCACAATGAGGACAGTAAGCACAGTCATAGCAGGCATGTTTCTATTTTACTTTTATTTGATGTAAAGCCAGAACTTGATCTTTATTGCTACTAATGTCCCAGAAATGATTATCTGGGTGTAGCTAGAATTTTTCATGACTTACTCAGCCAGAAATCTTCAATTATGAGAGAAAAGGTCCCTGTGAGTGCAGAATTCAACAGATAATTTCTAGGTACCAGTAACTCTGCCAGTCACCACCAAAGGTGGCCTTCCTAGGACAATAATTTTTGTGATGGGAAATGCTTGAACACGATTATAAAGTCTAAATGGTATATTAAGTCCTGAAATATTATCCTGGTGTCACAAATAAGGTACTTATTTTTCAGAGTAATGTGACTTGCATATATACTAGAGAGGTTTAAAGGAAGTTCCAGGAAGTCAGATCCCTTCTTGGACTTGCCCCTGGATGAATTGCCCAGCAATCAAATATGTTACTCAGTCCAGGATTGCCTCCCCTGTTTCAATATGCCTGCTTAGTGACTGGTGAAGTCAGAGAAGGACCATATTTTTCAACTGCTAGCACTTTTGTGGTTGGGCTTGGCCCATGGGATACACGAGCAGGATAATGGAATGAGTAGGGAGATGTTGGGATCATTGTTTATTTAGCTCTCATTGCCAGGCTGTTGATAATGTCTTTATTCTTTGTCCCATAGCCATGGCTTTTGTTGCATAAACTAAACTACAGCCCAAGCTATACCTGAGACATCCACATCCACTATGATGGGACTTCAAAAACTTTGTGAAAAATGGGCATTATCATTCAGTTCCTTTTTAAATGAACTTATTGAAACTTATTCCTTTTCTCCAACCTGAGACTTTTTTTTAAAAAAAGGAGGATGTTAACAGTTGATAAGAATTAAATATGATTTTGAAGTATTTGTACACTGGCTGACCTATTTTTTTTTAAGATTTGTTTTACTATTTATTTGAAAGGAAAGGTGACATAGGGGCAGAGGCAGAGATATTCCATCTGCTGGTTCACTCCCCAAGTGGCTGCAACAGCCAGAACTGAGCCAGTCCAAAGTCAGGAGCCAGGAGCTTCTTCTGGGTCTCCCACACGGGTGCAGGATCCCAAGGACTTGGGCCATCTTCTACTGCTTTCCCAGGCCATAGCAGAAAGCTAGATCAGAAGTGGAGCCGGGGACTGGCGCTGTGGAGTAGTGGGTAAAGCTGCCTCCTGCAGTGTTGGCATCCCATATGGGTGCTGGTTTGTGTCCTGGCTGCTCCACTTCTGATCCAGCTCTCTGCTATGGCCTGGGAAAGCAGTAGAAGATGGCCCAAACCCTTGGGCCCCTGCACTTGCATAGGAGAACCAGAAGAAGCTCCTGGTTCCTGGCTCCTGGCTTCAGATAGGTGCAGCTCCGTCTGTTGCAGCCATCTGGGGAGTGAACCAGTGGATGGAAGACCTCTCTCTGCCTCTCCTCTCTGTATGTAACTCTGACTTTCAAAAAAATAAATCTTAAAAAATAAGAAGTGGAGCAGTCCGGACTCGAACTGGCACCCATATGAGATCCTGGCACTGCAGGTGTCTGCTTTACCCACTACACCACAGCGCTAGCTGCTGACCTATTGGTTTCATGATTGGACCTCTAAAATAGTATCATTCCCCATTTTTTTAAAAAATATTTATTTATTTACTTGAAAGAGTTAGAGAAGGAGAGGGAGAGAGAGAGAGAGAGAGAGGAGAGAGAGAGGGAGGGAGGTCTTCCATTCACTGGTTCACTCCCCAGATGACTGCAATGGCCGGAGCTGCACCGATCTGAAGCCAGGAGCCAGGAGCTTCCTCTGGGTCTTCCCACATGGGTGCAGGGGCCCAAGTTCTTGAGCCATCCTCTGCTGCTTTGCCAGGCAATAGAAAAGAACTGGATTGGAAGTGGAGCAGCCAGGACTTGAATCGGCACCCATATGGGATGCTGGCACTGCAGGCGGCAGCTTTACCCTCTGCACAACAGGGCCGCCACCGCCCCCCCCCCCCCATTTTTTCAAAAACAAAATTATCGGGGTGAATATTTGTCCTATTAGTTCAGAAGCACACATCCCATTTCAGAGTGCCTGGGTTCTATACCCAACTCTGGCTCCTGTCTGCAGCTTCCTGCTAATGTGCACTCTGGAACACTGTCAGTGATGGCTCCAGTAAATGGGTTCCTGCTTACACATAGGAGTCCTGGATGGAGTTTCATATTTCTGTCTTGGCCCTGGACGATCCCCAAGTCTGGTGGACATTTGGGGCATGAAGTAGCAGGTGGGAATTCTTGCTCTCTCTGTCTCTCTCTTTCTTCTCTCCATCTTAAAGAAATAAGTAATATTTTTAAAATGATTAATTTTTTAAAAAATATAATTAATATACCTTAATTTCACTTTAATCAACCTTTTGAGTGTTTCATCATACTGAGATCTAGGATCAAATTCCCAAGTCACCTTCGTTTCTTTTCATTCTGTTAAAGTATATCAAGTTCTCCAACAAAATGTATTATATTAAAAGATTCTCGGCACATGT